CTGTGGAGAGCGGACCTCCCCTCAGGAGCACGGGCGTCCGCCCGTCCGGCGGCGCTCCTGAGGGGACGCCCGCTCTCCTCAGGCCGGGGCTGCCCGTGGAGTCTTACTACAGAGGCATCTCTTTTGTCTCTTTGCATTAAGTTTCTAATTACACTTACTCCAGGAGAGCTGTTAATGGAGCGTCAAGGCCAGACCTCTGTCCATAAATTCATCAAACAGCGGGTGACAGCATTTAAGCTATTTATCCCTCCTGTTAAATGACAATTGCCCCGACGCAATAGGAAGTTATTTCAGAAACTCGCTCCTCTAATTATTAAAATAATATTTTCCAGCCTACATTTATTTACAGACAATTTCTAGTCTTGGTTTTATATTCATAGAGGTAACCAATTCCTAGTTATTTCTCGTAATTCAGAGTTGTCTTTCCCACGGTCATTGTCACAGCCCTACTCTGCATGTTTTGCAGTTTTAATCAATCTCTTGCAGACGAGTGAGCTGAACTGCACACAAACTTGCCGATGAGGCACTGCTGGTATCACATCATAGCACTGGTTTTTCACCATGCCTGTTTCCACTGTGTTTCCTGCTAGATCCTCTTTGGTTGTTTTTTTTTCCACAGCTACATTATATGGGTGGTTCATATCCAAACCATAAGGAGCCTACCTTTGGTGTCTTCAGGTGCTCACCTCTCATAAATCCCTGATATGTAAGTCAACTTTTTATTATATTTCATTTCTGTTATTCCAGCCACCAATGTCGTTAGGGTTTTCCTGTATGATAATCTGGTTCCGGTCTGAACAGTCACACCTTGCAGCTGTACCATTAACCCATCCTGGCTTTTTGTGTAAGGTCACAAAGTGCTTTAAAGACCAGTTCTAAAATACGGAATATCCCTACTACTAGCTTCCCTTCAGTTCAACTGTTCCTGTAAATACAACAGTTCAGCCAAGTTCTGATTTATTTTGCAATTTTGCATGCCAATCCATCTCTTCTGTATCTGTTTTCATTAATATTTTCCAAGATGATCTCATACCAAATACTTCTCTGTCTTCAACAGAGATTAAACCTACTGCATTAACAATGTAAGAACTCATTTATGTTAGAAAAGAGTGTTGAGTTAATCTGGCATGAGCCACCTTGGTAAATTTATCCATTAAAGTCAGGCATGCTGATTACACGAATCTTTGGCAAATGCCTTTCCACTTTTTTTTTTCAACTTTAATTTGAAGTTCTTATCAACCGTGCTAGCCCCAATTCCAGAAAACTTCTGCAAGAGGTGTTTGGGTAAGTGTCCGTTCATGTTATTAGCGTCTCCCATTACTCAGATATTTCAAACCATCAGAGCCTCCATCCTTGAACTTTCTGTCTTCATTATCCTGTGACACCTTCTCATTTCATCTCAGGGAGGAAGGAACTCTGGTGATCACCCAAGTCTCCATTTCTTTGAGCATTGCCATCATTTTCACCAGACTGGTGAAGATGCTCTGGTATAATTCAGTGGGAATCTGGTAATGTTGTTTGACCAAATATAGAAGATAACCAGTGGGGTTTTCTCCATTAACCTCAGGTCAATGTCCCACAGTTTATGTCCTGCCAAGTAACACACCCCAGCTTTTCTGGGTATACTCTGAGTAGAGGACTGTCCCTTCATCTGTCACCATACACACTGGGTAGTCTCTTTCGAGTCTTGAATCTCAAGTTATACCCCATTTGTTTTGCTTTCAGTAAAGTATTCTCTTCTGTGGTGCCTTGTGAATTCTCCTTACGTGTGTAACATCCTGGGTTTCCGTGTCTGTGTGCATACAGTGTGCCAAGACTTGCTTTTCTTCTCATCTTCCTTGGCACTTTGTCTTCTGCCTACTTCTTTTTATGCTAGTATGAACCTTATTTTCAATTCTTTCTCTCTTTGTACTAGCTCATCCCTTATTATTTCCTGTCCTCATACTCTTCAAAGTCTGCCTTCTAGAGTTTCTTCATTCTGCATATGTTAGGAGATGATGAACTGTCTGTGCGGCATCCTTTTTCCTCCTTAATGATTTTGAATTCCCATCTGAACTCCATTTGTAATTCTTGGATTTCCTCCTGCTATACAGGAGTTTTCGCTCCTGATATGACATGAGTTCTGTCAGGCAACACTTCCTGGAGTAGCTTCTACCACGTATCCACTGGAGGATAAAGCATATTCTTTATCTTCTGTTTACTGCCATCTCTTAGCCCTCTGATCAAATCTACAGTCTTAGAATCCATCTTTTCTGTCCAACCCTGACTTTGAAGAGGGAATAAAGACAATCCCCCACACTTCCTCCCAAACAAATTCCCTCCAACATGCAATCCTTTGTTTCCTGCACCCTCTTCACTGCCTGATTTCAAATATACAAATATTAGAGAGGAAATGTACACAGTACAAAATCTTTAAAAATGAGTAATCGTAGAATCATAGAATCATAGAATTATTAAGGTTGGAAAAGACCTCTAAGATCATCAAGTCCAACCATCAACCCACACCACCATGGCCACTAAACCATGTATCTTCTTAATACCAAATTGCAATGTTAAAACTTTGTATTTCAATCTAAGAAATGTCTTATGTCTGTGAGAAAGTGTATTTTTGGCATGGGATGTGAGGTGTTAGACCTTAAACCTGCCATTAGCACAGGAACTATTACTCCTTGTTCTGCAAGTCAACCAAGTATAATCTGATAAAAGAATGGACCTCTGTGTTTGAGCAGAGAGGGTGATGCTACTTTGGCAAGTTAAGTTTCATTTTAACGGGCAGCATGTGGATGTGTCTGGGATTTTTTAAATTAGTCACAACAACGGTGGATTAAATAGCCAAGGGAAAGTCATATGGCCAAAGATGTATGCAATATATTATACAGTACTACTGTTTATACCACAGGTACCGATGAGGTCAGCAGGAGTTCTGGGTTTTTTTTCATGTTAGTATGAAAGCTGTAGGGAGGTGAAGCACCTGGGATGTGGTAATGTTGGCTAACATCTACGCCATCAGATGTGGCATAGATCTGTAAGTGATGATGATAATCTTTGGAGAAAATTTCACAAGGGCAAGGAATAGCTAGCTACAGGAGATAGTAAAGACTTGAGATAACTTTTTTATATGGATTTTTTAAATTTCTTAATTTTCATACGGAAAGCATTTGGGCATATTAATCCAATACATTCAGGACAACATATGATAAAACCATTCTGGATAGGAATACGTTTTAAAAACACTGTCCCTACACAGATGAATGATAGGCATATCAGTGGAAAGATGCAGGATGCCAGAACATAGAGTGAGTCAATCCAACAAATACTTTTCAGTCAATAAGGCAGTCTGTGGAGGACTGTTTATCATGAGCAAATGTGGCCCAATCTCCCCCAAACTGTAATATTTAACATTTTCTTTGCTTTAAAATAGTATGTTTTAAATATACAATGATATAAGGTAGTTGTGAAGATTCTTATTGGTCGGCTATTGGATTTGTGTGTGGTATTTCATCTCAGTGAAGCGTGAAATCAAAAAAGTCTCCCTCAGGAAGTGGCATTTTAAAAACATGCAAGGGAGCCTTAAAAACAGAGGCAGAAGTTATTCGACTAGACCTACCCCTATAAGTGATCTTTCCAAATTCTTATAGGAAGGAGACTGATACATAATTAGTGGAATGAAGTTCTTTCCCACCATATAGGTACACAGACCCCTAACAGATAGGGTAACACTTTTTTCAACACTGAACAGCTACCAATAGGGCGTTGAACAGTAGGCTGCTAAGCTGTAAGAACAGATGTTTTTCCTGACAGTGCAGTAAACCAACATGAAAAGTTTTTTTTCTTCTCATTTTTATGCAACTACTTTATTACTTTAGTGTATGAAAATACGTGTTAGTAGAGTGGTCTTCTGATTTAGATAGGTCTGAAATTTAAAATAGCAAAGATGCTATTTTAGAATCCATTAATTTGTCACTGTTGTTGTTCAGAATAAATTAACATTTGAAATTATAAAATTCTAAATCCCAGATTGAAACAGTCGTTTGCTAACCCCTCCATTCATGAACCGTGTATACATGAATATTTTTAACATAACCTAAAATGTAATGAGGAATGGGCTATTTGGCTGACATTTAGTGTGGTCTAGCAAAGGAGAAAGGGAAATTAATAAAAGGTAGAATAGGG